AAATTCAAACGAAGAGTAACAAATAAACTATTAATGATGGAAAAGTCTCCGGATAAAAAGTACGATCCTGAAAATGTAAAACTTCAATACCTTTCTGATTCACTAAGACAAGAATTCCTTCAACAACTTGAAGAAACACAGCAGAGAAGTTGCCAAAACAGAAATAACTTATTACTTTTGATCAAATGGCTATCAATCAGCAATCCTACCCTTGCCACGAAACTAATACTTCAAAGGAACGATGTGATAGCTAAAAGAATTAACGGAAATTTGATGGTGGCTCCTTGCAAATCAGAACAATCAACAATCGAAAATATCGAATTCAAAGGAGATTTAATAAGTAAGTTTGAAATTGAGAGAATTAATGCAGAATTGGAAACCCTAACTCAAACTCAAAAAACAATTAATTCAATACCACATCAAATGAAGGATGAACTCTTTTGGCAAGAAATCTCTGAAGAAGGAGAAGAAATTATCAAACAAATGGAAAAGGAGTTCGATGAAATTGTTCTACCAATAAAAGAAGAATTTGGAAACGTGATAACACATTGGAAATTGATTTTTATCTGTATAATTATCGTGACATTATTAACTATTTTAATTATTATTAAATGGAAATTTAAATTAGTTCAATCTCTCCTTTGTAATACTTCAAAACGAAATTCAAATCAAACTACCATCATTACTCTCCCCATAGAAACACCACACACTCAATTCCTAACGAAGAAATCCCACCCATTAAACTCCATACATTTAACTATATACCTCAAAATCACTCTCTCAAAATTACCTCTTAAAACAATTTCTCTCCCCCTTTGGGAGTGTCGCGAATTATAATTTCGCGAAAACTTCTAACTAATTTCATAGTATCATAAATCATCTCTTCTTTTTAAATTGTAAACAATATTACGGTATTCACACAAGTAATTTAATCTTCTTTTTGTAAACACATCCAATTCTTCACACATGTGATCTTATTTTTGACACGCCCAATCCTCACTCATATAAATTCAATTCTGATAAACAAAATGATGATTCTGATCATCATTGTCGGCTATTCTCTGTTAAACCAATACCAATTCCTCCGATCTTCTTCTTTAATATAAAATTTCTTCTCTCATTTATATTGCTCTGTTTATTAATACTACGATTGCAAAAAATAAAGGCTTATTAATCCTTCTACTGTATTGCAAACAATTCGAATATCAACCAACAGACAACCTTTCACGACACACATTTCACAGATTTACATAGATCAGTCTTATTGTTATAATTAAAATGTTATATTGTAGCATACAATTTAAGCCGTTAAGCAAAAGTTCGAGGAAGGAATTATAAACAGAATCATTTTATATCAGATACCAAGTAACCTATGAACCTAAAGATTTTACAACCATGCGATCAGGATAGATTGCTCAGTTGTGTATATTATTGCTCTAAACTGTTTCAGAATCCTTTTTTTGCACAGATATTACAAATTTAATAACCCACCAGGAGAGAATTAGCACCAATAGTTGAGTTTTGCCAGCTTCCACATCTCATCAGAATGAATGCATTCTTGAGAGGACAGAAAAAAAGAGGGGGGAGGCGAGAGGAGAGAGAATGGGTGAAGCAAAGAAGAGTGATTTATCTTCCACAGTTGGTTGTAAAATTAAGACTAATATTTCTTAGTTACACATGTATGTATATCATAAATTTGAAGCAATGTGTACGAAAAGTTGTGCAGTATTAGTTGAGGTAAACAGTGTAGCATAGCATACCGTAATAAGATTATAACGACATAACCAATATGTTGCATCATGAAGGATATTATTTTCGACGGTATCAAATAAATTGAATAAAAAGACAACACAATTAAAATAGATCATAAAATTCCACACGGTATTCAACTTCCATTAGTATTAATAGCAAGCTGTATGCGACCTCTTCCATTTACGCACATCAAGAGATATTTTTTAGAAAAATTCATTTGAAAAGGAAAAAATCTCGTATAGGAGTGGTAGAATCTGAGGGTAACGACTTTATACCAAGCAGTTTTTTGATTTTAGGGTGTCTGAATGCAAAATGCTGTATGCATCCAGTCAAAGAAACAGAGAACCAAAACAATGGAATACACTGAAACAAACTGATTTTAGAAATTTAACGCATGATTTTAAAAATTCAAAACTTCCTTCCATAAGCAGAATAAAAAGTCGGAATAAAAGGAACTTACCACAGGCATATACGACATGAAATATATACCAACAATCATGAATAACGAGTAACAAACATTGATAACCAACATCAGTTTAACCGAACTATAAGTATATATACGCTGTTGCGCCTGAAATAATATATAATAAATACAGCGTGACATATCAACTTAACAACATTAAATAGGAATATAATAACTAATTAGCATTATACATACCATTTTATTAACAGGAAGGTAAACAATCAGCAACTAACAGTACTATTACTACTCAATCTTTTGCAGAGTTATCTATATTTTCAATTTTCAAGAGTTGTCATATGAGTATAAGAAACACTCTTCAAGTTGCAGGAAAATCATTTTAAGTGAAAACTTACAAAATGATTAATAATTCCTAAAATACCAACTGACACCGGTAGAATATAATAGGGATCAGGCTGCAACAGATCCGGAAACCAAAAAATGCCTTGAAAAGGATAACCAGTTTCCGCTGAAACAATCAATTCACCAAAAATCTCGCACTGCTCAAGAGAGATGCATGGAAATTAGTTCACAAAAAATCAATTAACTGAAGGAAAACGTTCGTAAAAACTATTCGTACAGAAACTATGAATAAGAAAAAAAAACCTGTGTTTACAATCTAAAAAGAATGGACGACGAACTCGAAGAAAATTAACTAATACTAACAACTTATGACATTTCGTATCGCAAATGAAGAAAACGTCCATATTGACAACGCACAAAATCTCAAATATTGAATACGGGGAAGCTGTAAGCGACGCTTATAGCAAAAATCCAATATAATTTCTTTAGACTGAAAAAATAAAGCAGGAAAGATTGAAAACTCTTCAGAAACACCGAATTCCAGACAACATTTTCATAAATTATGATTTTTAAAAATAACCACCCACCACTTTATTGGTCGTCTGCAATATGGATTTGTCAGTCGTGTCAAGCTGTAAGAACCGACCATTTTTACTTGAAATGATATTCAAATTATAATGCTTGCTAAACTTCTGAAAAAGTATTTAATACAGCACTTTAAAATTATAATCACAAAGCAACTTTCTTACTGCGACTATCACGCTCAATTTTTCACATACTCAAATTGATCTTCATATTTGTTTGCTTACTCAATCACAAAAAAGGTTCACGACTACTATAACAAAACAGTTCTTGATCCGAAAAATCCGCCAACTTTAATGAGCTCATAATTCAAAGTGTTGACAATACGATATCTTTCAGCAGACAGTCGTTCTGCATACACATGCAGTGGCAAACTAGCAATGCGAAATAGCACTCCGGAAAGCATAAATGTGCCCGCCCATGGTATTTCCAGTGAATGTATGCCTAAAAAAGCTTTTTAACTTTTGGATATTTTCCATTTATGAGCAGTACTATTAAATAAAAATTAACATTGAAGATATCTTACACATGAAATACTTTCTCGTGTCATTTATTTCCAAAGATTTACATTGGTGTGACAGTGAGCCACGAACAGCAAAAACCAGAAAATAATAAAGGAAACTTTAGAGAATTAAGCAACCAAGAACTCCCAGAACATTCTCCAATTTTTGAGGAATCGAAGATGAAAGTTATACGAATAATTTAGAATAAGGCTAAATGAGGTAGACTAATTCATTTCTATCTACATCTGTTTTTGTCTTCACTAAGAAAATCCGTATCAACAATTAAGGAAAACAACCTTCAATAACATACTGCAAAACTTTTGTCAAGTAACAGGACTCAGCATACAATAATGGGGTGAGTGGGCTAAAACCATGAAGCCTTCTTGACAATACTCTTCTACACGTTATATAATTTTTCGAGTGCCGATGCACCATGAATTTCATCAGTAGTGGGCATAACACTAAAATAATTAGTTATTATAATTTAAAAAGATAATTAACTAGCTTTTTCTGGACATATTATCCTTAAAAAAGATTCTAAAGTTAACAGAAAACATCTTATTTGACAGAATACACCACTATGTATAGATGAAGACTAATTTCATTTTTCTAATTAATGGATAAAACCTTAAAAGTGTATATCTCACATAGTGTTTCTTTCTGAAGTCTTATATTCACCTATGATATTAATATACAGTATGTCACTTTAAGTTTCTTTACTTTACCTTATTATAAATTATTTTAGCTTACTTTGAATTACTTAAGTCGCTGTGAATAATTCCGCATTTACGGTTAACACAGTACACTGACAATATGAAGAGTGCTATAATAAAATTTCATAGTTGAATTAGAATAAAGAGCTTTCACCTTCTATTTCACAAAAGCAGATATGATCAGTAGAACGAAAACCTGGAAGTAATCATTTTCTCGAGAAATATACTGACACTTGTCTGAGCAAAACTATAAGCTGTAAAATCATAAGCAAAAATAAAAAAAGGCACTACTGCGGAAGCCATCTCATTTGCTGTGATTACTGTGCCAACAAAAATGAACCCACCACCCTACTTCAACCTCAGTGTAGAACTTCTCATAACGAAATCCAATACAAGAAAATTTCTGCGCTTGGTATTTTACGGTTGGTTGGCCAGCGTTCAAATCTCAAGAACGGTGTAGTCTTTTGTTGGCTAACATTGCTGGTGGTATCATTTATCATTGGATTTTTTCTTATTTATAGTAATGCTTTATAATGGATTTCATTTTTTTTTCCCTCTCCTTTAACTGTTTTCTAGCACGTAAGGTTAGAAATCCACATCTGCTTGAGGATTATATAGCATAATTATCTCATTCAATCGGTATACGTTAGTGTATATGTCTTTTCAGCCCTCTCTTGTATATCCCAAATGGCGGAGGAAATTGCAACGGCTGTTGGTAATATATTTATTGATGAATCAGATCACAAAAGTCAAAGTGCAAGGTGTTTTTTTTTTCTCCTCTCCCTTTCTTTTGTTTGGAACGAGTACTTTATATCTGAAAGTACGGGTCATTTACACTCATGATTTTACTTCGTTTTAAATAAAATGAAATATTTTGCATCTAAATTATATTTTAGATTAAAAGCATTACTGCAGTCAATATTGAGTTCTGGCAATAACGAGAGAGACATCAGTAGTAATGTTAGCCGTATAGCGGAAGCTGGTAAGTTTTATCTGCATTATCTTTTTTTTTCAATAATTATAAAAGAAACGTGATTTTACAGTTGACTTGATGAGCTTTACGGAGGAGCAGTGATTGTGATTAGAGTGATTTGTAATATCTGATTAGTTGTGGAAGAGACTTTCCATACATAAGCCATAAAAATTTCATGCCATATATGTAATGGTTCTACTTTGATATGTTGATCCAGATAGCGATCCAGCAAATCTTTTGTTATTTCATATAAATATGAAAAGTGGATAATTTTGGATAACGAACTGATTCTCGTCATCATCAGTTGATTTACTTACTATCCCACAAGGCACATATGTTATTTATAGTTGTCAATAAAGAGACTGTCTCAATGGTAGTATCTAGACAATTCGTTACTGACATAGTAGCGGCGCTGGATGATTTGAAGCCATGTCTTGTCAAAGAAGTCGCTAAAGCTTTGCTGAATATTGTGCAATCACGCCTAATTTCTTACGAGGAACAAGTAATGACTCTATACATTTATAGTAAATTATTTTTCGCTTCATGTGTGACATTTCTAAGCTTATAGTTTTGCATGTATTTGAACTGTAATTTCACGTGCGCTGCCGGATCTTCTGATTATTACCATACTAACTTAATAAAATGATTCATTAGGTAGACTACTAATATTGAAGAAAAAGTCATGCTAGTGTTTCAGGTAACACAGTTACGTTTTCGACTTGCAGACTTATACGAAGGCGATGGTGATAGTGGCGAAGCAGCGAAAATACTTATGGCTATACCTCTGGAGACAGGACAAAGGTAGAAGTTTGTGCTAGTAATATACGTGCTGTGAAATGTTTCTATAAATACTAGTAGAAAATTTAAGTAGAAATCGTTTTCTGAGCAGTGTGCTTAAGTTTATGAAATGACAATAGAATAGCGAAAGGTTGATTTTCACACTCCAATTTTATGTTCAATATTCCAATTAGCTTCTCGTGATTCGGGGCATAATTAGGCAGTCTTTATTTCCTTCTTTTTCTATAAATTTCTAATCAAATAAAGTATCATATTTTTACTGTTTATAATATTGCATATACAATTTGTCACTTCTAACTTTTTAATTTCAAAAGGTGGATTTTAGGACGTACCCTCCAGAATTGAAAATGCGTACATACTTAAGGATAGCGCAGTTAGCTTTGGACTATAAAAATTCAGAAGAAGCAGAAAGTTTTGTTAATCGTGCCTCGATGTTGTTCAACGATGTTTCAAAAGATGACGAGTTAATTGTGATATTCAAAGTAAGAAAGAAATGAAATGGAAATGCTTTCTTTGAAAATAAAGCAAAAAAAAAAAAAGGCAACAATCCATATAGAGTAGAACAGAATTATTCTTTAAAGTAGAAGCTGGGTAAAAATCTATCAAGAAATAAATCAGACCGAAATGCATATATTTCATAAATTCTTCAAATTATATGTTGAATGCTCTTGCTTAAAATTAACAAACTAAACAGATGAAACAGTTTTTTAGTCTTTATACGCGAAAGTGTTGGATCATCGAAATAAATTTATTGAAGCTGCACAGCGGTACTATGATCTTTCGTTATTCCAAAATATGTTGACTACCTCCGAGAAATTGCAAGCACTTACGAATGCCATTTCTTGCACAGTTTTGGCTTCACCAGGTATTGTGTAGCAATGTTTCGTTTTGTATGTAACTTAAAATTATAGGTTTTAATGTCATTAATGGTAATTATAAGCTAAATTATCACTGGACTAACTCATAAGCTTGTAACTAGCCATAACATATTCAGAATTGGTCCTCTTAAAATTGCAGGAATCTTTCAACTAAGGAAATGAAAGTAAACGAATTAGATATTTTATTAGATGTTGAGAGGCGATCCTGAAGGATATGCCAGATATGCGTCATGCAGAGAATATGTGATTTAGATCAATCTTTTGTCAGCGGTCAAACATTTACACTTCGCTGCTGCGTTATGATCCATATAATTCTGCAGGTGCGCAACGATCTCGTATGTTAACAACATTGCATAAAGATGAACGCTGTTCTAGCTTAGCAGCATATGGTATATTGCAAAAAATGTATTTTGAAAGGCTCATTCGAAATGATGAGGTAACTTTTTAGTGACACTTTTTGAGTTTTATTTTTTTTCTCTCTCTCTCTTTTATCTTCTTTTTTAAATAAATTTCTCAGCTTTCGTTTTCGTATTTTGTGAAACTTGCAGTAAGGAATATATAAAGTTATCGAGTTTTGTTTGTAAATTAAACTTTATACATCTAGCAATTTTTTCACTTGGTGTATTATTGTTTTGAGGTGATGGAATTTGAGAAATCGTTATCTTTGCACCAGCGAGTTACTCATGGTGGTTGGAGTCTTCTGCAACGAGCCGTCATTGAGCACAATTTTACTGCAGTTAGCAAAATTTTCGCCAATATCACATTTGAACAGCTTGCTAAACTTCTCGACATTGATCGTAGACAGGTTCTTTAAATTTTATATTTCACATTCACAATTTATATGCATATCTGTGCTTTATTTCTTACAAACGTTAATAAAAAAGTGGAACAGGGAAATTGAAGTATATTTTTTACTTTTGTGCTTACTTTCTACAGACTCATTAAATATTTAGAAACTTGCTTCATTGTCTTTGCTCTTTAGGGTTTCAGCTATACCTGCCTTATTTCGTTCCTTGTTGTCAAGTGTTGCAAGTTGCTTAGTTGCTTTTTTTTTTTTTCAAATTCAAATGACTAAAAGATTTTATACTTTTGTGTATATTTTTATAAAATATATTCTCCATTGAAGGCAGAGAAAATGGCATGGCAAATTATCGCTGATGGACGTGTTGGAGGCATCATCGACCAGGTCGACGGAATTGTACATTTTACTCGTTGGTGTATTTCTGATTTCATTTTACTGTTCTTATTTGGCTATATGCTGATATTTGATTTGCCCTTTTCCTTATATCTGTTAGCTTTTTTGTAACGCATTGTCACTTCCGTTTTGAATGTTGTGGAATTTTACAAATTGAATTGATGGAATCAACGTTCTGGATACAGTTGATCTATGATTTGTTAATCTAGATTATTGCAGATGCCGTGGATGAAGATGCGATAGCGACAAAGGATGCTTTAGCAGAATGGGATCAACATATTGCTGAGTTGTGTCAAAATGTGAACATTGTCACGGATATGATCATTCAAAAGCACACACTATGGGTAGATTCGCGTAAACCTGCGGCTTAAAATTATTTTGACACCGAGATGTGAATTTGTCATAGCATGAATGAATGGAAAAGATCCCGGTGTCGTGCATATATGGTTCTAGCGGGTGACAGTATTAGTTATAATCTGATTACTGACTTGTGCTGTATTAACCACATTAATATGATTAATGAATTAATTTTTGTGATTTTTGGTATTTTCCTTACAATTATTTTAATTTGCAGAGTTCATATGTATTGTATTTCTTTTCCATGTTTCTACTTGAAAGTAATTTAATATTTTTTTTATACTTCCTATTTATTTAGTATTTCTTATTTTTACATCTTCTATATGTTTTTGTATTTCCTATATATTTATTATATAGGATAGTCAATTACAAATATGGTATAATGGCGATTCTGATTGTGTAGTAATGATAAGTTTCGTTTTTCAGATTTTGTAAATTCATTTGTTTTATTTTTATTGTGATTACTTATAAGGTGTTCAGGTCTAATTAAAGAGGAAGTTGACACAGCTATACATTGTTCGTTTGTTATTACATTGCAGTGAGAGTTTTGATAGAAAGGGAGATGAAATACATGAGCCGTAATAAATGTCCGGAAGAGTCCGATAGGAAATATTTTTTAAAGCTTTTTTGTATTCGATTAATAGGCGCTGTTGGATTTTGCTTATATCTCTGTAATATATGAAATATATTATCCTTTAATTAGAATTTTTAAAATTTCTTGTTGCAAGAATTTTCTTCTTTCACACTACTTTAGCTGTCGACCATCCATTGCGCCATTGCGGGAAGTTTTGGAAATTGGGATGGTCTACCCTATCCACTGCAGCGACGTTATCGATGATATTATTAATGCCTTTTCTGGTTACTTGCAACGGTTACTAAATGCTGCTGTTGCGTCCTGCTCTGGTTGCCTCTTAGTTTGAGAAAAAAACTAGAAGTTGGCACCAGCTGGTACAAATTACGAATTACCACCAACGGCAACATCAATGCCCACATAAACACAACATATTTATATATAAATTTTTGAGCTTATTTATAAATACAAATTTTCGGTTTCCCTGGTCTTAGGAGTTCAAAGAAGAAAGAAAAGTGCAAAATGATATGTTATCAACCAAAGGAGGGAAGGCAAAAACCCCGTCTAAATGATAAATGCTTTATCCTTCCTTTTACTCATTGCATATCCTCTCCCTTCTCCATTCATATATATATATATATATATATATGTATATATGCATCATTCCCATGTTGTGGCACCTGTTCAGTCGCAGTGTTCTTATTTATATTTGTAAATTCATTCTGGTATTTGGTCGTTCATAATTTCTGTTTTGGTTGTTTGTATATGGTGGAATGATTGAAATAAACATGTTTAACCATTTTGTATGATAGCAATCTTTTAGTGCAAAATAATTTTTGATCTGAATTTTTATCAGAAATGTTTTAATTTAGAAATTTATGAATTTTTTCATCCTGCTCAGGGGATACATTGATA